GATTGGGTGGAAATTATGAAACTAAAGGCTGAACTGCATGGTTACATTCGGCGCCGCATACGAGAGTAGCAAGAGATTTTTGTAGTATTGTTGTTCAACGTATCATTCAGATAAAACACGATATCAGTTTAAACAGACAAAATACAATATTCCGACTCGAAAATCGAGAAAAAATATGGTTATAAATAAGTATAAAAATGCCTGGTTATTACGAACTTTAAAACATTTAAAAATAGCAAAATGAAAAATAAACGAAATGATTAAAAAATTTAAGATAAGAAATACGCAATTAAAAGTAGTTCTCAATATGAATGAATTTAGAGAAATATTCCAATGAGTATTCATAAAAGAATATGTTACTGATAAAATAAATTAACACAAAAATATGTATATAAAATGTATGAAGTTGGCTGAATGATCTTTATTACAAAATCTTGTCTTTAATGTATGATTTGTGCGGTCACACAACGATCTCTACAGTTGTATAAACGTAGAAGTTTTAAAGCACTTTAAAGTGTTAAATTGTTCCTATCATTGGTTATGTATTTTAGCACTAATACGGTTTATTAGTCCGACTTTCTTCTGATATTTATTTTAGAAGTCTGTACAGAGGGCCATCTGTACATCGCCGCCACTCATTTTGAACTGATAGACTAGAGGGAACTCCATTCAAAGCTTCTACCGCCAACTTTTGGGCTACTCTTGTCTCATCAAATAGTGGGACGTAACCGCTATTGTTATAGTACATGCACCCACGACTCCAAAATGTCGCCAATCATTAATTATCATATTCCCACTACTGGCAAAAGTAACTACTCGGCCAATCCCGGCTCTAGATCTTTTACACATATTTGGCCAGTTCTAATCGGTGTCAACCTAAAACCAAACAAGGATCCAATAACAGCATTAGCTCAGCCAGTCTGATGAGTTCGTGATAATTAAGTCAGCTAGTCTGATGAGAACCGATATCATAAAATCTGCTGTTCTCATCTATTAATGAAATGTATTTATTAACTTGTGTTAGTTAATATATTTCATATCAAACTGTTTAATTCAAGCTAGTTATACCAAGTTTTGATAAATTTTTAGACCTTCGACAAAATTGTAAAAAATAACAGGACTTTATTTTATAACATGTTTTCCTAAATCGCTTCTTTAATGGAGAAATGGTACTTCTTTCCTTTTAAATAATGTATATTAATTTTGTACATTTATGATTATCAACGAAATTAATTTTAAATAAAACTTCTAAAATTGTGGTAAAGTGAGTCTTCCTAGTGGAGAATTATTGTGATATTTCAGAAGAAAGAAAGTGACTTTTTCTGCTGGAGAATCCAAGCGTATGCTATGAATTGAATTGTTCTGTCACCGAAGTAATCGTACGTCTTTCGTACGGAGTTCGTTGCATACAAATGTGCAGGAGTGTTGTAGTAACCCGATCTTGGTAAGTTACACAAGTAATATTTTATTTCAGTGTGAGCATAAAGTGATTAAAAATATCGAATATCACGATGCCAAAAATTGCCAAACGGAAAAGTGACTTATCACGGAGAAAGTATAAAACTATGATAAAGAAAATGAAACGTCAGGATGCAAGTTACAGAAAGAAACAGTAAGAAATAGATAGGCTTGTTCACCAAGATCCAGTGAGAAGAAGCCAGGAACAAACCCAAAATACAGAAGTAGATCACATTGTTCACCAAGATCCAGTGAGAAGAAGCCAGGAACAAACCCAAAATACAGAAGTACATCTCATTGTTCACCAAGAGCCAGTGAGAAGAAGCCAGGAACAAACCCAAAATACAGAAGTACATCTCATTGTTCACCAAGAGCCAGTGAGAAGAAGCCAGGAACAAATCCAAAATACAGAAGTACATCACTTTGTTCACCAAGATGCAGTTAGAAGTCTGGAGCAATTTAGTGACAGAGAGGCACACCTTTGGGCTCGCCAAGAGCCTGACCGTAGGGCTGCGTTTCTGCTAGTTTAATATAAAGCGATTCAAAAGTCGCGCATACCACCAATATTTTTTTAATTTTCACCTTTACTATACGTTTCTTATTCGTGTTTGTATTTCACTGACTGACTCTTTCTCTTTTGTTGCATTAATTGACTGAGATGTCATGAACCTTAGAAGAAATGATAATATTATGACATTGTGGTGTGATATCAACAGTGCACAGTTGACCTCCAGATGGGTCAGCAGCAAGTTTGAGTACTTATAAAGCTACAATCTAGGGTTCGATTCCTCGCGGTAACAGAGCGCCCGTAGATCACTTCGCAGCTTTTAGCTAGGAAAATCAAACAGAAATATGGGTTATACGACTTTCAAAAAAACACGATTATGGGTAACTTTTGGATCACTCTCTAGTATCGTACATTTCGAGTTGCAGCTTCTTTGCTTAAAGTTCAGAAGACTAACATCCTTTCCAAATCTGTTATTTAATCCGAGTTTTACTCACTAGTCTCAGTACGCGAGTTCTTCTATGTTACCAAAATGAAATATTCATTCTTAGACTGATCTATTTACATTGAAAAAAATATATTAATATCCACTTTAAAGATATTATTCTATCTTCTTAACGTTTCTAACATGTTCACTAAATAAGTAAGTCGTATCAATGAAATGCAACTTTTCCTAGGTAGTCATACATACAATTAAAACGAGTTGAAAACTGTTATTTTGTTACATTTGATTCTGCATTTTTTATAAGGTAAATTTATTAATTTTCTAGGGATCCAGTGACAGAATTTCGCTGTAATTGTCCGCAATGGTGGTTAGTGTTTGCAATTTTAGTCTTTTTTATGTTTGAATTTTTTGTTAGATGTGCACTACTGCAAGTACGTGAATGGTTATACGTATATTCAGGTTGTGCAGCGATAATCTGGGTGAATCTTAGAAGTAAACAACTGGTTTTTACTAAACATTATTTGCTAATTTATTGGTTATAATATTTAAAATATTTTAATTATTATTATTATCATTAATTTTTATAACATTCAAAAATATTTTGCATTGTTAGCTTAGTATATTAATTTAGGAATAAACTAAGTTATAAAACAAGTGAAATATTTATTAGGATAACGGTCGAATATGTAATTATTAGGATTATGACCGGAAATATCGCTAATAACAAAAGTACCAAATTAAGGATTTCTAACTACCATACATTTGAAATGTCCTTATGCACCGACTTACGATATTATGTGCCAGTTTGTTAGGTAAAACTACGGTTATATTTCCTCAGGAGTTACTAAGAATCAGCCCCCCCCCCCAGTGACACAGCGGTATGTATGCGGACTTATAACGCTAGAAACCGGGTTTCGATACCCGTAGTGGGCAGAGCACAGATAGCCCATTGTGTAGCTTTGTGCTTAATCACAAACAAACAAACAAACCAAGAATCAACCCAAGTCTAACCACTCATACCATGACGTAAAACACCGCAGTAAAATAAAACAACAGTTTTTAAACTTAACTTACTATTGAATATGACCTTATAACTATATCAAAGTTATAAACATATCTCACACAAATATATTTTGTTGAAACATATAATACTAAGCTAAAATGTAAGAATGGTTGCGTTACACACTGTAGCACTGGTCTGTTGCCTGAAAGTGAGGTAAGTTGCTGGTTTGGTTGCGTTACACACTGTAGCACTTGTCTGTTGCCTGAAAGTGAGGTAAGTAGCTGGTTTGGTTGCGTTACACACTGTAGCACTGGTCTGTTGCCTGAAAGTGAGGTAAGTAGCTGGTTTGGTTGCGTTACACACTGTAGCACTGGTCTGTTGCCTGAAAGTGTGGTAAGTAGCTGGTTTAAAATTGTACATTGCAGTAACAAGTGTGTTTGATGCTACCACAATTCATTGTACTTAAGCAACACAAGATTTGTGTTTTTTTAGTATTTTTATTTAATTCAATTGTACTCGCATACTGGGAAATTAATTACTAACAAATTGATTTTAAATTCTGGTAAAAAATACAACCTCGACTAAACTTTTCAAAATTGTAGCTAATGTTAACAATCTATCCCGGAAACTGGAGAGAAATGCACAATTTCAAGTTATTAATTGTAGCTAATGTTAACAAGCTATCCCGGAAACTGGAGAGAAATGCACAATTTCAAGTTATTAATTAAGCTCTTCGTAGCGTTCACAGCAAACACTGTATTTTAGTGTATAGCATCCCAGCAATATCTTATTATCACACTTGATTTTGTCGTTTCGCTTTCATTAGTTACTGTATAAAGACTGTTTTTTTATTATATACTTATACGGTCTGTGTATCAAAAATAGTTTGTGTATGTGACAAAAAGTCCTAAGTTTTGGTACATTTGTGAGACTATAAAATACTTAAAATTGATTATTACATTATTCAATACATCAATTCAAGCAATTTCACTTCCAACAATATTTTTATATTATTCTTTCACATTATCTATTGTTATTTCCAGTAGTCGTCCCTCTGACCAGATAAAAATAACAACATTGCTTACTCATGCAAAGCTATTTCTCACTACAGGTCAACTGTTACATGAGTGTTCTTGTTTACAAGCCACAAGCAGTTTACAAAAATAGGTTTCATAGGTAATTTGACATTTATCAAATCGTTTAACCATTAAAAATGTAGCAAAGAGGAAGTCTGTATGTAATTTTAAACTTTAATAATAACCTCGACAAAAAACACACGTAAAAAGTTCCAGTTCATGATGGATACACACCATTAGATAAAATTACAAACATTTAAAGGGTATATTAATTCAGAATAGCAAAGCCATCACTAAAAATGGTTTATGAATCAGTAGAGTTCATAATCACGGTTATATATGATATGTTGTTGTTGTTTTTTCACTAAAGCTCCAAAGTTACCGATTACCCTTCAACAAATACACTAAACAATTTAGTTGAAAATAGTATGAAAATTCGGACACGAAACAAATAAAACTACTGTAAGCTGAACACCAAAATTTTCAGCTAGAAATATTATAGAGAAAATGTAATTATAACACATGAAGATTATCGCATGATTTGGACTTGTAGCTTTCTGTTCCTAGCAGCTTGTTTAGCAATTCCTTGGCTCGTCGGCCAGTTCCATATAAAGAACCTTTACTACGAGACTTACGTCCTTTACCGGGTGGAGAGAAATGGTTGAAATCCTTCAGCTGCTGGTTTTTAAGTCGGATTTGACTAACAATACCAACCAATAGATCATCGGTCTTATGACTGATGACTGCTGAAGTCTCCATGAATTTACACTCGTACGATATGGCAACCGATTTACCTTCTGAAAGAAAAGAAAATCAAACATTAAATTTTCACAAAATAAATTCTTAAATCAACTTGGATGTGTAAACTGAAGGTCTAATCTAGTATTTTTACATTTTATTTAGACGATAAAATCTACTCTTTTAAATTAACACACAAAACAAAATTCACAAAAATAGCTTGTTGAAGTTTGGTGATGACTAAGAACTAAAACAGCAACTAGTTACCAGGATGCTGAGTGTGTCAGATATCAGGATTAAGAAGGAGTAAGTTACCAGAATTGATTTCTCTTGCATCAAAATACTTTAATTTATGGAGTAAAATACTCTACAAGCTTTAGTGAACAAAAACTAGCATCTTCGACAATCAATTGAAGTGCACAAGTTTAGACAGACCGACTAAAATACTTTTAATTAAGGTATTGGTAGACTTTCTTAAAGGTTTTTTTGTTATAATACGATTAGTACCTGTCAAAAGGTACAACGTATGCGTATGTAGATAGTAGGGTTAGCAAGACAAAGTTATAAATATATATTTGTATTAGAATCTTCGTTCAAATTTTAGACAAAGGGCAGAGAGCTGCATACAGTTGTCCCTAAATTTGAACAGATAGACTAGGGTAAGGCAGCTAGTCAACAGCACCCACCAACGTTTAGACCACATTTGTCTTTCTTAATAGTGGAATGTGACTATCATTCTTATGCCCCCCCCCCCCCACCAGTCCCAAAATACGAAACGCATTTTGACAGGAACAGGCCGCGAACCACGAATTCACAGTCCGAGCACTCTAAGCACTAGGCAACGCCTGGCCCATAAAGATAGATATTCAAAACAAAATTGATATGAACTTGGCAGAAAACAAAAAACAAGCAACAATAACAATTTAAGGTATTCTTAAAAGTAGTTTTCTAAATATATGTAAACAGCTTTCTAAGAATAGCTTTAACAGAAATACAATGATTTAATTTAACTTTATTAACTTCTTAAATGATTTATATTAATACGTAAATATATGTAAACAGCTTTCTAAGAATAGCTTTAACAGAAATACAATGATTTAATTTAACTTTATTAACTTCTTAAATGATTTATATTAATACGTTCAGTCAGAGGTGATTCTTTAATTTTACCAAACCTATCTTTACCTACGAACATAAAATTGGTATATCCCTCCTGTCGATTTATTATTTTTATAAATCATCTATATATTTCTAATCAAAACATCTTGAAAGTATGGCATCTCTTTGAGATGCTGATTTGAGGCCAAAAATTCGAATGATTTTGTTAAGAACATAAACGCTCTAAAGGTTGATTGGTTGTTAAAAAGCTATGGCGATATTTGACGCTGTTAGTCTGTTTACTTCATTTCCATTTGTTTTACCTTAGTAATATAAATTGAGTACTTTCTTGTAATTTGTCTTAACACGTGTGTTAATGATATCTACCAGTGTTTTCAATTTTTACCTCGAATTAAATCGTCATGTACTATCTCCTTGTAACGAATGTCATTATCACATGAACGTGAAACTATGGCTATCAAGTCTTTAAACATACATTAAAAATTTGGATGAGAGTTATGGACGAAATATTTTGTGTTGCAAAATAATAATCTGCTGTACCCTAACAAGTTGACCATCTACATCAGTGCTTCTCAAATAGATACAAGACACTAACATGCAATCCGACTACATCATAAGTATTTGTCAGTATAGCTGGTTTCATAATGACACGGCATAACAGCAAGTGACTGCAATGTTTTAAGTTAGTGAGCGAGACTAGGTGCAAACAGGTGCTTGAGTCACGCAAACCTTTATTATTTGAGAGAGCACACTGCTCTACATTTGCGCGTGTCTGAGTAACTGGCTCATGAAACGTTTCATGCTTTGCATTTATATGTGTGGGTACATAGCTGCATTAATTATACGTGCTCTTTATGGAAGTATTGCAGTAGCGATTGTTTTTTGTTTTTTTTTGCAATGCTCGCTGTGAACGGTTTCATGACACAAATTTTACGCCAGAAGAGTCCCGTGGATTGAAAAAGGTTGAGAACCATTGAATCTATGTTATTTGAATAGATCCAAATTATCTTAGAACACAAACATAAGGGTATTATTTTAATCTTCTCATTTCGGATTCTAAGTCCCTTGATGGTTCACTACGTAAAGTCTATTTTCCTTTGGTGCATTTCTTTCGCAAATGTTCTTAATGATGATGATGATTAATTAATTAACTAGATTAATGTAAATATATTAGATAAATCCTCAATTTATTTTCAAATAGGTATTTTAGAAGTTTGGAATATTATATAACTGTTTTTAAGGATGCTTTCACTCACTGTTGTAATTTCTTTTGACCATTCATCCGGATTATGATATTAATAGTTCTTTGCAACATGGTCTTGCACAACCCTGTTTTACGCATGCGTGTATGTTTTATTATGTCAAACAAATCTCCGAGAAAGGTAAAAGATGGTCGATAAAAGTGAGGTATTCCAAAAGTGTTCTGTAGCTAGCGTGTCTTACTTTGCATTTACAGACCAAATTCATCAAATATATAGTACAATAACACAAAATAAATAAAAATTTGGAAATTAAAAACCTGCAAATAGGAATCATGAAAAATTAATGAAACAAGGCTGGAGTTACTGTAGACATTATTTACTCAAACTGCAACCCCCTATTGTGGCTACATGCTGTTACCTATAATTACATTTCACTGAGTCAGAATAGGGATTTGTACTTTGAGTAAATAATTTCTACAGTATCTCCAGCCTTGTTTCCTTACTTTTTTACGATCCCTATTTGCAGTTGTTTTTAATTCCCAATCTTTTATATTGTTTGCTGGCTTTTTTATATTCAACTATAACATCGTTCACATTAGAATTATGATGTTTTTTAGCTTATGTCAAATTTAGAAAAAACAAATCGATTTTTCAATACCCTTATAACCTTCGCAGTAACGTATTTAGTATTCTACAACAGGTTTGGGTGCAATATACCAAGGCGTTTTTGTTGTAGGTTGGCAAGAGAATAATAATATAAATTACAAACGGACCGTTTTGAGCGGACTTTATTATCCTTGCAAGTTTAACATGCGTGCTTTTTTTTGTACATTTATGTATGTGTACAGCCTTAGCAGTCAATGCTAAAAGTTTTAGAGGGTTGTTTGAACTGAATCTTTACTGTTTAAAGTGCTTTTTGCCTGAACATTCTATTAGGGTTTTGTGCAATTCCTTGCGATCCCTTACGCAAGTGCTTCTTTCCTCCAAAAATTTAGCTACAATTTTATATTCGTTCTCTAACCTCTAGATAAGCTGTAATACAGCACAAATGTGGTCGCACACAAATACTTCGTTGTTGCATTAAAAGCAAATGTCTGATTCTGGTAAAGAAGTCCTGGAGAGATAACCAAAAGTGTTATACTTTCTTCCAGGTGAGAAGAGGGTCATAAAACCATAATTAGGTAAACAGGGATAAAAGATGTTCACATTATCATGAAACATGTGCAGGAATTTCACAAAAATTCTAGTAGAACATACAGGCAAAAACCATTTTAAAAAGCAGGCTTGTTCTTCAAACAACACTCAAGACCTTCTATGTAAATGGCTAAGGATGCTAAACTATTGATAATAGCAAAAAAATATGATTTTCCGATTGTTAGACAAAATTCAAAATTCATCCATTTGTTCTTCATATTATTGTTTCACAAACCTACAGAAAAAACGGCTATGCATATTTTATTCAAACCTGGGCAAACCTACTAAGAAAAACTTCTGCGCAGATCATGGGACTATTTTTATGTTAATTCTTGAAATAGAAGGAGAACTTTTATCTTTTTTTTTTTTTCATCGCTACTGGCCAAGTTTCTCTTCGAAGCTATTCAAGCACCGAACCCTACAGGAAAAATGGCTAGGTAGACTGTGCCAACATCTATACACAGCTACTAAACAAATTTCTGAGAAGGTTGTTAGGTTATTTTTAAGCTGATTCTTGAAAGTTGAAATTTCCACCCTCTAAGTTGTTCTTCACTACCAACATAAGCTCTTCGATACCATTCAAGCTTCGCAAAAATGTAAAAGCTATTTAAACACCGTTATACTAGTCGGAAGTGATTGGTTTTATTAGAGTAGACAGTGTGTATATTTATAACAGTGTCTTCAGCCTTATTATCATTGATTATAGTTTTACAAGCCACTACAGGAAAAACGGCTACGAATATTTTACTGAAACCTGGACAATAGAAATGAATGTAGTATTGAGTATGTCAATAGGTAGTTTTAAAACTAATTCAAGTGCCTTCGTTTCTTCGTCCTGAAGAATTTCTCCAAGTCTTACACTTTCCACCATTGAAAAAATCCGGTGTTTTACTAATGTGCATTAATTGAAAAATAATTTGAGTAACTTAAGGTACATTAATTGGAAATTGCCACATTAAGGATTCGTGATTTCTCGAGTTCGCTGTTGTACTTTGTCTCTACGTGGTGTTCTGCGACTATTTCAGCAAATTTTCCAAACAGTAGACGACTACCATAGTATATTTCTATACTCTTGTCAGTGGTGATGTATTCTACTGACTTTCGTACTTCACTGAAATTGTGAATGCGTATTTTAGTATTATTTTCTTCTTCTTCTTCTTCACATTTTTGTTTTACAAGCCTAGAGCAAAATCGACTAGGTATTTAAAAAAAAACTTAGATATAATATATGAAATGCTGCGAATGTCCATGACCTATTTAAAAAGTTGATTATTTTCCATTGGAAGTTAATTTACATGGCTATATATACATAATATATGCGATGTTGTTGTGAGCGGCTTCCTTTGTACTCGACACATGTTATACGCGAGATTACACGAAACCACAGGCACAAACCACTTTGCTCAGTAAATAATGGTTGGGTGGGAAAAAACCGATGCAGCAGTAAACTGTTGAAAAACATGCAACATTCAACTGAATGCATATGCACATACGTAGCTTAGAATTTATTCCCCATAAATGGACATAAAAAACTTAAGAAACAAGATAATTAGATATTGTTAATTTGAAAAGGGAAATAGGAATCGTCAAAAATTCAGAGATAAGTTGAATCAAAATGCAAACATTTTATATTCAAGCCTACAAATAGGGATATTTCAAGCTACAAATCCCTATTTTGATTCCATTAAAAAATAGGGATTTGTAGCTTGAGAATATAATTTAGACAATATTTCAAGCCTAGTTTGTTTGCTGTTTTTAGAGTCCCTAATTATAGGCTTGAAAATATAATATTTGCATTTTGATTCAACCTGTTTCTGTAATTATTTGATGATCCCTATTCCCCTTTATAGTTATATTCTATATTTGATATTTTTAACTTGAAATGCACCTTACGTGTAATGAGGGTTAAACTGAAATGACAAGTAGCGACATCAGCGATAAGTTTACGGACTTACAATTCTAAAATCCAGGGTTCGATTCCCTACGGTGGACAGTGTGTTGACAGAAAATCTGTTTTATAACCTGTTACGCTCAAAGACCTTGAGAGAAGGTGTAAGCTGAAACGTCAGGCAAAATAACAAAACAAAAAAATTCTCCAAGTTGTTTGTTGTCTTTCTTGTTTCCATCCTTTAGTCAGCACTGAAATCTTTAAAAACTAATAACAAGTTTACTTTACTTTAATTAGGATTTTGGTGCAAAGAGCTTGTAAGGTAAATAGGAATTATATTGGTTTAGCAACAGAATTTAATGACATCCAAAAGTTTCGATAAAGTTAATAACGATTACTTGAACAAACAATATACGTCCCTAGATATATAGACAACAATTAAGAAACAGAAAATAATATTTTTTTTTTACCATTTATAGGACTACAATCTAATGAAATTAAAACCAACTTCAAATACTTAGGGACATATAAACAAATTTAGCTAATGTTTATGTTGAAACCCGTATATAGAATTAAAGACTTATTTAATTTGAAAGATAAAATACTAAAATTGATGAATTCCTGGGTTGTTTATCACTATAGATGTCTTTGATCTAATTCTAGTTCTATAGCTTACATAAATGGAGCTTTATAATCCAGAATTAGAGAAAACGTTGATTTAAGATCAATAAAATATAGAACTACATGCATTAAACGGATTTGATGAACCACCAAATCAGAATTATTTTGAAGATATTGTTTAAGCTAAGAATGAACTACAGTTAAGATATAAAGACAAAATTTTATAAAAAAGCCTTAAACCGGAACTAAATGATCTACTGAACTACTTTTACTGATATGTGTTCTACGGCCAGGTTAGAAACTCCAAGTTTCAGGCATAGTCGTCCCTATTTCCGAAATGCTGACCAGAGGTACGACAATTGATCAGCAAGACCTGCCGCATACTCGGCTACCATAAACTGAATAGCGAGACTGACTGTCACTTTTATAATGTGCCCACAGCTGAAAGTTCGGAGCTTCTTTAGGTACATGTCACGGGCGCGAACCTTAGACCATTCGATCCACAGTCCGGTTTGTATATATCGAAATGTACATAAACACATCAGGTACACAACAAAAAAGACCCCTTAAAAACTTCTCTCCAAGAGCGATTAAAAATCATCATTGGATTTAGTAGAAATATGTGTTGAATATAGCTGAAATCAAAGTGGAGTCTTAGTTTTACATTACTTACAAATCAACAAGCAATACCAATGCTAAATGCATTACTCAGTAGGCGAGTAGCAAGTAAGAAAATGCTATGTAAAAATAAAGAAGAAAATCTAACTCTTATAGGTGGCTTCTCTGGAGCATACGCACAAGCTTTCAGGCGTACATGGTCCAGAGGCGAATCATCACCATCAATTGCAAGCGCGCGCGCACGCACACACACACACACAATCAAATTCTAACAAAACTAAGTCGATAAATTGCAAGCAGAAATTAAGGTCTTACAAAAATTACGAGCATACATGCTGTGGTTAGTGTGTCTGGCTGTCAACAGAAAAGTCCGGGGCTCGAGAAGTGATGTCCTAGAATAAACTTCGCAGGTGTGGGTGGTTTATAAAAACGACATGTTCGGCTCAACAAGATGGAAAACAATTTTAACTTTGTCGTAATAACACAGTAGTATCAATACATGCCACATCAGTTGTTCAATATGTCTTCCGCCCATTTCAACAACAGACCCCACACGAGGCAGGTCATGACCAGAATAAGCAGCACAAAGCACATTTTATGTGAAGTGTATCACGTCATGTTGAATGTTTTGCTCAAGTGTCAATATTAGGTAGTTTTAACAATCATACTAACCGACTTTTGGATAGAGTTCTTATTAAACTCACGCGATAAGCAAACAAGATTTCAAGGTCACCTTGCAACGCCATCTATGGTCTTTTCATAAATGTCTTCCGTATATGCTTTTATATACCCGTACCAACTGGAAAATCTGTAGGTTTTATGATTCTTTCATCATCTATACCTTTATACGTACATTAATTTTGTACCTTTTATATCCTTGGACCAGAGAGGGTTTTTATTTTATTTTACCTTTCAAGCACATTACGTTCTTCCTTTTAGTATCTACTGAAAAGGGCATCTGTGTATAAGTTCAATTCATTAATTGGTTTTAAAATGCTCTAGACAGCAGTACATATTTAAGGTTAACAACATAGTAACAGCAAAATCTCATACAAATCAATGGTCTAGCATGATATATTGGTTAGCGTGCCGGGCTACGGATCCAAAGGTCAAGGGTTTTAGCCTTCGGATATGCTTCGCACTTTGAGCTGTGGAAACGTTACAAAAGAGAGACAGTCAATTCCACTATGCGGCAGAACCTTGGGGTGACTCACCTGCCCGTTTAGCTCGTATGTCTCATAAGTTGTGTTCAGGTTGAAAATACTGAACGCAAAATATTTACAGTAACACGAGAAATGGAAGCCTCTGAAATTTCATCCTGAACTGGAAACTGGATGTTTCTCTTGAATTATTGTTGGCACAACTATTAAATGTAAATGCTATAGATCTGAAATCAACACTTTCGTGTCTCATAATTTGGTAACCTGGGTTCGAATTAATATACGCTGACTATCTGTCGAACAGAAAATACACTTGCTTTTCAACCAGGATTACCGCTGTTCTTTTCTTATACTCTCGATACCAAATCCAAACAAATGACAAGAAATTTCCTTACTCTTTGTAAAGCTCTTTGTCGGAAAAAAATCAGAATTGTTTTCTAGCAGGATTACAATCTTTGCAGTATATACAGTCTTCTTCCCGAAGTTTAATCAGAAAAACTAGAGATTTACTACTTACCTTCTGTCGAAACAGTCCTCGAACGGACAAGGTCAGACTTGTTTCCTACCAGAATTACTGCTCTTTTTGCTGTGTAGCCTTGTTCCCGAAGTTTAAACAGAATATCCACGGCATTTTCAAAGGTATCTCTATCGGTTACAGAATAAACTACAAGGTACGCATCAGCAGAACCAGTAGCATCCTCTTCAAAGTCCTAAAGGTTGACAGAAAGTTATAAATGCAAATAATCATGATGTTGAGAAAATAAGTAGGTTAGATAAATAGACAAAAATAAGAAACCCTATAATCCGAGCGCTTTCGAAAGGTAAACTTACCTTCATCAGAGGCAAAATGTTTTGAAAGTTGTACAGTTTTATAATTTTCTAATCATCAAATGCCAGTAATGAAGGATAACTTTAAATTAAATGTAACCACTGACGTGGGTATACGAAGAACACGATTTTCGTTAAGAATATAGCGCTAAAATTTAGGTTTGGATCCCCGCGGCAGAAATGCTCAATGTGAAGTTTGGAACTAAAATAAAACAAAGAAATATATATATATATATATATATATATATATATATATTGTTATGACTAAACACTGCCTTTATAAGTCAATTATTAAATTTCTCTAAGATTATAAAGAATTATTCTATTTCTCTTATTGAGATTCACCATTTATACCAGGCCATGTTCTTTACTCATTTAATACATACAGTTTAGTTTGTTATGAATTTCGCACAAAGCTACACAAGGGCTATCTGCGCTAGCCGTCCCTAATTTAGCAGTGATAGACTAGAGGGAAAGAAGCTAGTCAACATCACCCACAGACAACTCGTGGACTACTCTGACCGTCACCTTATAACGCTCCCACGGCTGAAAAGTTGAGTGTGTTCGGTGACGGGGATTCGAGCCCGAGGTCCGCAGATTGCGATTGAGCGCCCTAACCATCAGGCCATGCCAGGCTGTATTATCCGAAATATAAAGATTTATTTCTCTATTATAAATACATTTCGCACCGCATCAGTAGTGGAGAGTTTATTTTAGATTTAAGGGTTTAAAATAAATATTTAAAAGTTTTTGTAACCATTTCAATGATCATGATCGGAATCTATTTTTATACATTCCTTGAGTTTTGATACAACTTTATGAAAATATATTTAACTTGAAAAACAAAAATAATTTGATAGGATATGCTGATAGGAATACTGTACGAGGGTTTAATATCGACTATAATAATCCCAGATTAACTTGTATTATGTTTAACCCTAGTTTAGTATTACACAAGTGTCTTGAAATAAAGCAGTTGACTTAATGTTTGTTTCTTCATCAGAATTAGAACTTAAAAGATGAAAATATGAAAGTACTAAAGAGGTACCTTGCAATACCGTGATTTAAAAGTAATGCTATAAATGGGGGTGTGGGCCGCCACTTTCAACTATTTTGAGCCGTATCACACAATCCATTCGTCCGATGCAAAGGTACTCATGTTCAGAGTGGCATTAAACTCTTCCGTTGGACATTGGCTTCACGCAATTTGCTACAGATTGAGCCTTCATTCACAGCGTTAAGGAGATAAAATAGTGATAACAGATAGACAGACATACAATACATGTTTCGAGAGTTAGGTATAAGCATATAATTTTCAAAATTGTAAATTGCCAAAGAGAAGAAGACTTTGCAGGGAATATTGCAGTCAAACGAAATTCCTCGGAACATTATTTTACTCTTTGTTATTCGCATTTCTTTATATGCTTAGTAACTTTTGCTTGGTTACCAAAACTTTGAAAAAAACACAATATTGACACAAATTTAATATTAAGACACCTGAAGATGCACTTTCAGAGATTTCCCGTATACCAACTGCGGAAAGTTTTCACTTTTGTCTTGAGATATTTATAAATGTTATCTGTAACATAAGTTACTATCTGTAGAGAATTCTTTATAATAATGTAACAAGCCTCATAGAAGAACAGATTTAAAAAGATTAAGATTGTAGAAATTACGTTTACTCTTAGACATTAATTAGTAAACCGGCGTGTAGATACTTTTGATAAGTTGAGAAGATTTCGTCTTTAGTTATAAAAAATAATTTGTGTAAAATGCTGACAAATTAATCAGCTAAAATAGCAGGCAGTACGGTCTTACAATTATTATTTTACAATATTAACAGAAGCTTAAATACGTCGCACAGAATGGGAACACGACTGAGAAATTGGATTTTCAATTGAAGTTCAGTGAAATATTTCCAAAAAAAAGATCTTCCAGAAAGACAATCAGAAGTTATTTTAATCACTTACTTTCTGAAATTCGAGAAATTTTGATTCAAGGATATACGTATTATTTCTCTTTGGATATTTTTATCTTAAGGTTTAAGAGGAAAGCAATACTGAACAACGAGTTCTCCAAAAACGTTATTAATGGCTTACAAGTTAACAAGGAACACGTTAGTAATCTACGAGTTTCACAAGAAACACGTTAGTGATCTACGAGTTTAACAAGAAACACGTTAGTATTGGTCTACCAGATTAACAAGAAACACGTTATTGATCTACGAGTTTAATAAAAAACACGTTAGTGATCTACGAGTTTCACAAGGAACACGTAAGTGATCTACGAGTTTAACAAGAAACACGTTAGTGATCTACGAGTTTAACAAGAAACACGTTAGTATTGGTCTACCAGATTAACAAGAAACACGTTATTGATCTACGAGTTTCACAAGGAACACGTTAATGATCTATCTACGAGTTTCACAAGGAACACTTTATTGATCAACGAGTTTCACAAGGAACACGTTATTGATCTACGAGTTTCACAAGGAACACGTTATTGATCTACCAGTTTAACAAGGAACACGTTATTGATCTACCAGTTTAACAAGGAACACGTTATTGATCTACGAGTTTGGCAAGAAACACGTTAGTGATCTACCAGTTTGACAAGAAACACGTTAGTGATCTACGTGTTTAACAAGGAACACGTTAGTGATCTACGTGTTTAACAAGGAACACGTTAGTGATCTACGTGTTTAACAAGAAATACGTTAGTGATCTACGTGTTTAACAAGAAACACGCTAGTGGTCTACGTGTTTAACAAGAAACACGCTAGTGGTCTACGAGTTTAACAAGGAACTTGTCAGAGATCTACGTGTTTAACAAGGAACTTGTCAGTGATCTACGTGTTTAAAAAGGAACACGCTAGTGACCTACGAGTTTAACATTTTACCAGGAACATTTATAAATTTTGAACGTTACAAACCATTTAATTTCAGTGAATTCACATCGGACATTAGTACTTTTACGAAAACATTACCCAATTTAATCGGTGGGAAAAAATCGGCGTGTGTTCAGTTAAGACTACAGAGCTAGCTAGCTCCATATTAAGTGAATTGTACTTACATCAACTCGAAATTAACTCGCTCATCGTGAACCCTCGATAAGACATCATGGAAGTTCCAGACTAGAAAGAAGACTTTATATTGCTTGTAATTTTGTAAAAGTTTTGTATATAAATCATTGTTTGTAGTAACTATTTGTAATAATCGTTATTGTAAATTATATTGTTGTTTGTATATTAAAATATATTTGTATTAAAAACTGTGTGTATCAATCTTGTTGGCAAATATCATAAATTGGATATATCTCGACATTTATTTAACTACTCAATCTAAATTACAATTTAACTCAGTTTTAGGCTATTTGAAATTGTAATACGTGGTAACACATTAATAGCTTTTGTTAAGAAACGCCTTAAATTCTATTTAAAAGTAACTAGAACATCAAAATAAAAAATGGCGTGACCCTAACTACTGCCTGTTGTAAGCAAAATGTTAGTGTTTAAGGTAACCTGAATGTTGTGTTCAAATAACTGTTTTACACGTAGAATACACAAGAATCTCACAAGAAAAGTATCTCTGAGATGACCGTACAGAACAGATACCATCGTTATGATGGACAGAGATTAACCATTTTTACTGAACATGGTGTCCTACAACGTTTCTTTCGGTTGGTTTTTCGAGCCGAAACTCAGGAACAAAATGTCAAATGGAAGTAGAAAGAGCTGGATCTGAGATCCCTTGTATAACTAGTCACATTGGTTCCAAATCACCAGATAACGTTTTGTTATACTACATAGAATGACCAAGATAACACTCCGTTACACAGAATGACCAAAGCCATATATGAAATGTTCCTCTGCTACGCAGATATTAGTTTTCTAATCGGTTTCGTTCAAGATATCTTAATGACTTAAAACTCGGGAGTAGCTTACCGTCGCAACATACTAGCTCTCCTAATTATGGCAGGAATGACTTCACACATTTTGAAACTAAAAAAACAAATAAATCATTATTCTCTTCATTAGGGACCTCCAGTGGTATGTCTGATGGCTTATAACGCTAATATTAGAGTTTTGATACACGTGGTGGGCAGAATACAGATACCCCATCATGTAAATTTATACTTGAAAACAAGCTCTTCATAAAAAATGTCCAGATATCTCAATAAATCTTTAAGAAGTGATACAGTTTCAAACGTCTTAATGTGAAATTTAACGTATAGTTTTATTTGTTTGTTTTACATGCGCGCGCGCACACACATTCTAGAATACCTGATCAAGTCTACTAATAAATTAGTATGTCTGACATCCTGTTTGTGGTTTGTTAAGAAGTATTTTAAACCCTCAGTGTTTCTCTACTTAACTAGCTATACTAAAGCATTTTTCTCCGACTATCACGAAACAACAATATTGATTTCAACATTTCTACAGAACTCTAGTGAGAAGAAATAACTAAATATAAAATTTAAATAATTTTGTTTTTTAACTGTTAACATCTTGGCTCACGTCAATAAACAATAGGAGCGTAAATTCAACAATGAAAGTTAATTTTTAATTGATAAAAAAAATTATTTTGAAGAAAATTGTCTCTGAATGTTTGACGTCATATATGGGTCTAACAAGGCATCCATTCCACTTCTGTGACTTTTATACATTAGTCCTGTAACAAACAAGATTAGTTTGCTGGTTCACCAGTTCCTGTGAGTGATAATATAATTAAGTAATATACACTAATAATAAGTATAAATAAATGATCGGTGTTAAAATGAAAAATAATGTTGTATTATTAATTCTTATTCTTAAAACTGATTCGCAAATGACTTATCGAAAACTAATAATTACAATTCCCTCACTTAATCGTTGTTCGTGAAA